CAGGTAATGGACGAGGAGTCCTGCGGATTTCGAGCGCTCAATCTGGCATATGGGCCGCTTTCAGTGAGAGGGGCTCCAATACCAGAATGTGCACACCCGGCCTGGAACGACAGTTCCAGAGCACTCCAAAGCTCAGGGCTGAAACCCTCAGTTTTAAAGGGCACAGTCCTTGTCAACAACTACAAAGGACCATTTCACTCAGGCAGAAACGGGTACAGTTTACAGGAGGCTGCCCAACGGCTTGCGGCAACATGTTCGGATGAGTTTCTCTCCGAATTGAGCTTGAGCTATGGCTTTGACACCGGCCTGCCAGACGTTGAGCTGACGCGGGAGGCCTTCCTGTCTGCGCCTGGCATTGCTACGAGGCTGCCGGCTGCCCCTTGACCGTGTTGGTAGCCACAACTCTCAACTTCAAATTGCTTTGTGTAAATTATTGCGATGCTCAGGCTTTAGGCAAACACACGGGTCTTAACAACATTATCGTAGGAGCCCCATAGCCGGGTTGCCATGCTAAGCAACTAAGTCTAGCTTCGGAAGAGACGTTTGTTTTCCGGACATTCTACCGATAATGTTCATCGAATCCTGGAGCACCGAAGTTCAATTCAAACCAACCAGCCGACGATGACCATGATGATCTCAAGAACCAAGGTGCGCAACAAAGCTTGGTTTGGAATCTGCGAATCCTTCAACAGCTTGCTCAAAAGCTGGTCTCTGCTTGATGCTGCGACTGAACACGCAAACGACTTGCTCGCCAAGCCGGCGGGGCCTGCTGGCGAGAACCATGACCAAGACGAGGCCTGGGCCGTTTGCGCGGGGATAGTTACTAGTAGCACCACCTTTTCATGGTTGGGTAGCAAGGCAAAGGTTGACGATCCGTGCCGGAGATTCGATCACTGACCTTGGAAACATTATTCACAATTATCCATTTGATTGAGAATAGTTGTATTTTGCCTTGCTTGTTTTTTGAAGGGAATCCATCATTACTTAAGCCGAAGGGCTGTGTTCTTGCTTAGTCGCTGTTGGATTGTCCAGCGCGCAGGACATGGACGCACATGTTCCGGACGACCCTGAGGCTGAGGAGCCTCAAACAAGAAAAGCCCTGGAAATCTTGCGGCGCACGTACAGCAATACAGCTGAGTTCATCACCGCCCTGTTCAAGGAGGAGCTGCTCAAACACAAGTTGCGACTAGTGGTCTTTGACTTACAGGACCTCCACGCTGAGTACATTGGGTGCCAGGACGCGCACGGGAAAGGTCCTGAATTCAGGCTTCGCTGGATTGCGGCGCGCTCATTTGGCTCCTATTGGTCTACGATCAATGCTATGATGTCCAGGCTGACCTCAACTGAGGTCATGAAGGAGCTTGGCTTGCATGGTCCTTGTTTGCCTGGAATGCAGCCCATGCCCAACGATGATCCGTCCCTTGCTGGTGAAGCAAAGCTTCTCGAGCTGCACTGGGCTTTTCCACCAGATCTCGCAAGCAACCGTGCGTGGAGCCAATCCTTCTTCACCGTCACGTTCCCTCATTGCATGGCAATGATTTTCATGCCGAAGGCGGTTGACCAACAAACAGCCCAGGGCTGCTGGCGGCGTGTTTGCAACACAATGCTCAGCTTGGAGGAGCATGTGGCTGCCAACCCAAAGGACAGCGACGCCCGCGCTCTGCTGAACGATCTTCAAACGAATTCCTGGCAGGTGGTCCGCGAGTTTTGGGTCATTGGCCGGGCTTGCGATTGGGACCCGGCCAATCCACAGTTGCGGGAGCTGGCCTTTTCTTTGTTCTCTGGCCCAGCCACGACTAAGTCATCGCTGGAATCCTGCTTCAACTTTGTCAAGGACACCGGGCGCCAGAGCAGGGCAAACAAAATGAACCAGTTCACCCGTTGGAGCTACGCGTGTCTCAATCCATACGCCAAATCCGGAGGCCTGAACACTTTGAAGGTTTGCGAGAGCGACTGTGCCTACCTGGCATCCTCTGCAGAGGCCATTGAGGCTCTGAGCGCGGTGGCTCCCTTCCAGAATGCGTCCAAAGCCACCCTCCCAAGCGAGTGCCCTACTCGAACGGAGCTGGTGCAAAAGTGGCGCCCAGCTGGCTTCTTAGCAAACCGCCACGCAGCAGCCGCCACTGCGCTTGCAACAAGGATTTGCCGAAAGAAGTTTGCCTCAGCCGGCTCAGCCTGGATGGGTTGCTTGACATTCTCAATAGTAGATCAAGTGTGACAACCTATTTAAATATTGTTATTGCAAACGGGTTGATCGGCAAATCAGATTTGGAAACGACTTGAACTGTTGTCAAGTTGTGATTCGACAGACTGCTTGCCAACTGTTTCCGAGCGCCTTTTCCAAACGCCTTTCATTATTTCCCCCGGTGTCAAACAATGAAAATGCTGGCTCAAACGAGGGCATTCCTAAAGCCACAGGTGTCGTCAAAGCGTGGTTGCTTGAGTTTGCGCAAGGTTGCTTCCTGCAGCACCGCCAATTCTTCGCGCACAAGAAGGAGGACAGGTTTATTGTCTCGCTGGGATTTATGCGCTGGGCGGCCATCGCAATCAAGGCAGAGTGCTTCAAGTCCCCGTCGACTGGCAAGGCGCCTCTTGTTGTGGCAAAGCTCAACTCGGTCGGTTTGTTAGCCCGGGCCAAGTGACAAGTGTCTGAAGAGTCTTTGGCGAGATCCCACTGGTTCACAAAGAGTTTGAAGCGAAAGGGTTGGTGCCAGTCCTCTTAAAGCGCTTGCTGTTTTTAATCGGTTTTAATTTCTTTCGTTTGCGCAAACTGGACCCCCCCGCCACCCCGGCCTGCTGTTGTCAGCTTGGACTAAGTTTTTTTATGCGGTGCTGCGTTCAACTTCCAGAAACTTTTGAGTGTTTGAATCGTGGTTCAAAAACTTTGGACTCAAACGGGCTGACAAAATAGAAGGGCTCGATGCAGCGAAGTCTTGGAGCTAACTTCAACGACTCAAGGGTAACCAGGTAGGCGGTTTGCTTCTTGTTGCTATGGTGCACTGGGTTTCGAGTTGGGCCGCGGTTGTTTCTTGACTGAAATGTTCACTTCCAACTAGAAGCTTTCTTGCGGCAGAGTCCTCAACAATTCAATCTCAAACGATCTGCCCCTGTTCGCTGGTAAATCCCCTGAATCACTGAAAGGTGTATCTTTGGCCGTCCGATTCTTCTACTGCCACCCAATTCGAAGTGAACCTTTCCATCGGCGAGACCTGCGTGTGGGAGCATGTCCCAACAAAAATTGTTCCCAGCTGCTGCTTGCCACACGAAAGGGGCAAGCCGCAGCACGGCTCTGTGGCAGTGGTGACTGGGCCATACCAACCACTTTTGGAGTCTGCACTTTTGCGGGGAATGCCGCTCAAAGTTCCTGAGCTCAAGCAAATCATGCAAATGACCCACGTTCCGATGCCCAAAACAGGCAGTGGAAAGAACAAGAGGGTGATCAAGTATGACTTGGCAGTTGCGCTGCTATCCTTTCACTTTCCGGCAATGACACCTGAAGAGCTGGTCAAGCTTGCTCAGTCTATCACAGGTCAGCAGGACTCAAATGAACGCATCCCGGAAGGAACAGCGCCAGCGCACTTGGAGCTCATCGCAGCTCTTGACCCGGACGAGATGCAACACTTCAAACCTTTGATCAAAGAAGCCATGGACCACCTTGAGACTGCAGTCAAGCGGGAAACCAATCGATTGAAACTGAAGAGGAAATTCGAGGAGAATTGTGAACTTCAAGAAAAAGACAAAGCAGCGGAAGCCAGCGGCAGCAGCGCAGCCAAAGCCAAAGCAAAAGCAGCGGCGTCACCATCATCAGGATCAGCGGGCGTCAGGCTACAACCTGATTCCCGTACACGCGCACCACCAGAGTTCACACGCTTGCTGCCTGATGTGGACGGCTTGTACTTTCACAACGAGGCTAAGAACAGGCGATTCTCAGTTGAATTCAAGAAAATCAGCCCTCATTTCCAGAGGACAAAGTCATGCAAATATCAAGTTGGCGCCTCGCTGGAACAGCGGGTAACAGCGTTGGATGTGGTTTTTGCCCATGTGGAATTTGCTTACCATTCGGAATTCAAAACGGATCCGAATTACAGGGCAGACTACAGAGCTCCCTCAAGTCAAAGACTTCAGGAAGCGCTGGTTGAGATGGAAGCCCGAATCGGCTGAGCCCCCGGCCCAGGTGAATTGCGCTTGGCGCGATGGATGCCGCTTGAGCAAAAGACCGGTCGTTTCGTGACAGTCAATGTCAAATGATTGGTCAAATGACATCCCAGTAGATGATTCAAATTCTGGTCAGTCACTGAATAGACAGAGTCCGAATCAAGGTCCCACCCCAGTTTCAATGAATTATGTTTACTTCCCCCTCAAATGTGCAGCTTTACTGCTCATATGCGCTTTACATTTGGGGGGTACCTTTTGGGGGGGGATCACAGTGATCCTGTGACTTCATGCACGGGGCAGGTCCATAGGCCCATGTTCGATCAAGCAACCTCGAATCCAACAATCTTCGACTGAGTCCCAGCCGAAGGCTCCGAAACTTCGAGAAATGCCGTTGATAGAACCATCTGCCCTGCTTGAACTAGTGTACAGTGGGGGAAGTTCATGGCAGCACAAGCGTATCCAGTCATTCCTCATCGGGGCATAACTGGAAGCCAGACACTGCAGCTGTCGATAGGCAACTTTCCAACTATTTGTACGTCCATTCCAGCTGGGGCCGGACTTTGTCCGCAGTCGTAAAAGCACAGTTGACACACGTTGACACTGGAGGGATGCAAGCACCAAAAATTCTAAATGGTTGATTAGACGAAATGAATCAAAGGGGGCACCCGCAGTGATTGAAGCTTCGGTTCAAGAATGGATCTGCCTCTCACCTGCCAAAAGGACCCGTAAATGAAAGGTTAACCTTTTGGCGCCCTGACTACAAATGGAACAAATCCGAGGAACTGTCTTTGGGTCACAAGGTCGATTCGCCTTGGGCCAGCGAGGCCTACGATTCCAGGCCAGGCCTTCACCCTCCGCTAGGAAGGCGTGGTCTGCTCTCCAGATCCAAAGGTTGTCGCCAATGACCTCACTCAGGTGAGGTCGCCGGGTTTGGGCCGGCAATTCATGTTGGAATTGTCACGTCAAACATAGCGACCCGAAACCTAAATGACATCCTTTTCTTCATATAAAAGTAATGCAGACAGTCCTTTCATACTTGTATTTGGCACACGAGTTGGGGCGATCCGGGCCGTATGGAACTTCGATGGCAGTCGCCTTGCCATTGGACTGGAAGTCCATTTCTACTGCGCCAAATGATCGTTGCTAGCCACGGAGCACCCGGTTGTCATTCCCAAGCGAACGTGCTCCTTCTTCCGTGCTCGCTCCTCCGTGGAGTTTTTCCCGGGATCCCTAGAACAAACTGGGAAGCTGGCTCTGAGTCATTGGAGTTACCACCAGGCTACCTGAAAGGTACAAGCGCCTGAATCTTCTAAGATCAGCATGAGACCATTGATCCCTTGAGTGACATGTCCCCTTTTCACTGACACCACTCAGCTGTCAGGTGCACACGCTCGTGATCAGCATCGAGCCGCCCCCTTTTTCTCCAGCCCCAGCCAAAGCGAAGATCTGCCCGCCTGTGGCGTCGTTTCCTCTGAGACCTTTGCTCACGCCGCATGAGGTACAGCTGGTTGCAAAAGCAAAACACAAAAGCCTGCAGCCAATGAGATGGACATCTCCGGTGGGTGGTCTCGTGTCGTTTGGGCTTGAATAGACTTAGGCCACATTGCGACAACTACACATTAATCTCCGGACAATCGGACAATGACGATAACCCAACAGGCCAAAACAATTTCCAAGCTCAGCGTTTGTGTGAATCAGGCAATGGACAACAAAATTGGGGTGTCAAAATGGCTGAAATGGAGCAAGGATAGCCAACAAGTGGAACCTGTGCTTCGAGCGGTTTGAAAAGGCCTTTTTTTTGTCTCCATCTTCCCGCTGTGAACGATGCCCAGCTTGCTCTTTGCTCACATGGACCGAGCAAAAGGCAAATAATGTACTCTAGCCCAGTCGTATTCAAATCCCTTCCAACTATGATTGCATGAGTGCTCTTCTGGGCGAGTGTAATTTTGCACGTGAACCTTGTGGCAACTCGCTTGCCCCAACCGACTGCGCAAAGCCAATGCAAACTTCTGCGCCCCCGCGTCTTTCAGCGTCCAAGATAAATGTTGTATCATGAGCTTGATGGCCTCGGCCAAGTGACTGAGATCAATGAGCACGTGCGACCCTCATGCGAGACACCACGCCAGGGGCCAAAATGGAGCCTGACGGGAGCCGCCCTTTGAAAAGGAAACAGTGACGAGCTTGGGAGAGAGCGTCTCCCTTCAGGCCCGAACGGCCAGCAATGAGCGTCCAACGTCTGTGGCCGAAAGGACACTGCCCCGGAACTCGGTGCGGCACACCCACCCTTTGTGGGACTTGCGTCTGAAGTGAGACGTGAACAGTGACCCATTGCAGGCGCGAATCAAAGATGCGAGCTACGTGTTCCACTGTCGCTACCGTAGTCAGGCACAAAGATGAGAAACGGCGTCATCATTTCGCAGTGCAATGGGCCATGGGGTGCTCACATGCGTCGTCCGACATTTGTCGGCATTCGGGTGTGTCCTAAAACAGGGGCTCCCCTATTTTAAGGAACGCACATGGCTGGTTTTCGTCCAAACCCCAAACCGGAAACCTCGCTTTCCCCCAAAGAGGTCTCCTATTCCTTGGCCAGCAACGGCCTCGACGTGAGGTCCGCCGGGTCCGCTGGCTCCGCCGCGGGGTAGGAGGTCTCGTTCAGCACCAGCAGCTGGTGATCGTCCAACTGGTCGTAGATGGACGGGTAGTCCCTGAGCTGGTCGCATGGAAGCCATGCGAAACGCCATGTCGATGGACGAAATCCGTTTCGAACCACTTTGAAAGAAACACGGTTGAAGCCATTGCTTGTTCGCATTTACAGGGGAATCAGAAACCAGGGTTTCTTAGGTGGTGCAGGATTTCGTCCATCCACAGTATGGCATTTCGCCGGAGACGACCAGCCATCTTTCTTTGCGTTTCTAAAGGGTGGTTCCCTTGGTTGCCTGCTATATGGGCAAACGGAGGTGAAGCGAAATTGGGGACCCTTTGGTGGACATCATTTAGGTGGGCATTCGTGTCCACCAACATTCTTAGCCAATGGAGTCACTGGCAAGGGTGCGGGTGCGCTTTAACCCATGAACAAGTGGTCATGGTACCAGCAAAGGGCCAGTTGGGCACATACTAGGCAGCGAACTCGGAACCCCTGACCTTGTGTAGGAATATCCTTTGTGGTCAATCTCTTGCCCCGAGGGCCGAAGCTCATCAGGAAAATGAGTGTAAATGAAGGGGAACCATCAGGTTGTTCAAACAAAGTGCCGTTTCATCCGCGGCTTGAAAAGGTTGGCCCAATTGCCAACAGTCTGTCCTTCCAGTTACCATAGACAAAAGCTATAGCAGGAAGCACCAAAGGCGAAAACGCCAGCCTATGGTACGAAAAGCCTCGGGTGTGTGAGTTTCCTTGTCCATCGTCCGGCTCGGTGTTTCAGGAAAGGGAGAACAAATGAAGTACGACGCCCCTCAAACATAGCAACGGGCGACCCATGGCCCCTCTTCCAAACCTTCAGTGGCACCCTTCAAATGAACATGCACCCAAAAAGGGGTCCCCCTAAAGCACATTCCTCTCAACATGAAGCTTTGTGGGATCCACGTTAATGTACATGATGCTTCCTTTTTGATCCGTCTCTCCACAAGTCCACGCTTGTGACACTCAGCCATCCGCTCTTGGGTCCTGACTGACGACCGTGGCAAAATGCCAATGTGCTCTCTGTGGTTCTTTATCTAGGTACTCCAGTAGAGAGGTTAGAATAGGGGTATTACCCTTTTTTTAGTAGTCTATTTTAGTAGGGGAACCCTCCCCCAAAAAAGGGCAAACGGGCACCAGTGGGGGACCTAGTTATTCTTAAACACCGAAACCTTTGTCGCGGGTATGCAGTAGGGCATCATGCAGGGCATTGTTATTGCCCAACATGCCAGTAGGGCATTCATGTGAAGCATTGCCTTCACAGCTTGTCCAAACTGTGACCATCCATATCCATATCCATATGCATCCACGTTTACACGTAAACGCAATTGAATCCGCCCACCCTGTTTGCGGGAACCGAACCTGGAAATAAGACTAAGAAGCAGAAACACGCAATGCTGAAATAAAGCAAGCAAACCACCATGTCCATGCCTCGAACTTAGCCAGTACGAGCTTATACATCATCGGACGAAACAAGCCGGCAATAACACATATTTCATATGTATCATGGATGTTGCAATAACAAGAACACGTACCTGAAAAATACATCAACTTACAGATTCAATTGCTTCTGGAGCCAAAAAAGGCACACGGCCCGCGGGCCCACCCGCGTCGGGAGTTGGAGTGCCAAGTGATGCGTCTGCGCGAAGCGGCTTTTGTGTGCGGCATCATCACCGTTTGCGCGCAGAAGGAAACTCTCCGCGCACTGCCTTGATCTTCCAGGACCCTGAAAAAGCGGGCCTTTGTCTGATTTTCCTTTTTCAACCAGAAGCGAAATCAAGAAGGACCCTGTTTTTGCGTGCGCTTGGAAGACCAAGGACTGGTTTGCTGTCTTTACGTTTCTCCAAGTCCGCAGACCATGTTTCTGTATGCCACAACACTTGTTGGTGTGTGGTTCAGCCTGGTACATGCTCCGTGAATCTCCGTGGTGGAAGCTGCGGATCTGAGAAAGAAGAGTGAATGCATCTGAATCTTTGATTCTGTACAATCACTCCAACACAGAAATACAAATGAAGACTAGGACTTACAAGGGTCTTCATCAGGGGGGTTTCGCTCCTTTGGGTAAAACAAGCGAAGCAATGTTTGAAACTGACTATGTTTAGTTGGGGAAGCTATTAAACAAAAAGGGAAGTCGAGTGCCATTACACAACGGGTGCCTACCCTGAAGGCAAGCCGCTCATCGCTGACGTTGCATAGGCAGAGGTTGCAGCAACAGCCGGCCGCTGTCGGCCGTGTAGCTCTGTCCAGCAAATCCTGCCGAGATGTCTTGGCCGTGGGGCTGTGCCCCAACCATTGGGAAAACAATCTCCATAGGCCCTAGGGACGCAAGACCCTAAGTTTAAAAAAGAGGGTATTTGACCCAAAGCAACCCAAATAAGCAGACTTTGGATTCGCGAGGTATATATATATATATATGTCTAGTTGGGATGCACAGGACGCAACAAGCTTTGCCATGTTCAAGGTGATAGCTTCAATGTAGCATTCAGCATCTCAGGGCGGCCAATGCCAGGAGTGGACCTTCATCTGTCCAAAGGAAGAGCTGAGTCCCTCCAAACCGCAAACCCGCTAGTGCGGGCAGGGTGGCGGAAAGAACTTACCTGCCTAGAGTTGTTTGGGCCAACTTGCGAATGCCAAGCGGAAAAAAAAAAAAAACAAAAAACGATATGTGTCACACAGAGTGCAAGACAAGGGCCTGGGGCCCTGCTTGGCGGTCGTGTGGAGCACATCGCAAACAAACACAAAGAGACCACACACACACACACACACTACACACACACACACACTACACACACACACACACTACACACAAACTTGGCCATGGTTCAAAACCAATGGTACCATGTTGGGATAGGTGCACCACCCATTTTAGTCTATTTTAGTGGGGATTGGGATGTTCACTCAGGGTACAGGGTTTTGACTCATTGCCACTGTGAAATCCCCCGTCTCTCAATCTTTGTGTTGTGGCCCAATTCTGCTGTGAGACTCAGTGAGCACACTCCAGGTTCGGATCCTGCAAAGGGAGTTACCCCGGGCCCCATCCTCAGGACGCCCCAAGGCCCAGGGGTGGGCGCCGACTCCACAGATTTGGAAAAACGAGAAGCTATCGAAAGCGAAATCCTGAAATCCCAACTTGCCTTTTGGACTTCCAGCTCTCCGCCCGCCCGCCCGCCCGCGTGCGCACGCGCACTCGCACGCGCATACGCGCGGATTCACCAACGCACACTCAGCGTCTGTCACGGTATCTATATCATATATCCGCTCCTTGCAACAAGACGGCCCTCAAAACGACGCCTTCGAAGCGCTTTGGGGGCACGGAGGGCGGCTTGCAAACTCTATTGCTCCATCAGGTGGCAACACATAGATGGCACTGGTCACTGACCTGAACCAACTGAAACCACGAAAACCATCCATTTCCAAGCAAACTAAGCTAAGAAGGACGGTGACTGACTTCTAAAGCAGGACCTTGAAGCGGGTTGCTATGAAACTCCTGCCTGGTAGGCAGGCGTCTTCACCAGTTTCCCGTCTTCGTCCTGCAAGTTGCTCAAATGTTGAAGGCCGCTAGTTGGTTGGCAAACTCTTTGGCGGGTGCCAAGGCTCTTTGTTTGCAAAGGGAAACACTGCACCAGGGCTCATCGACATTGTCCCACAAAGTGATAATGAAGCAACCCACAAAATATGTACGCGCAGAGAAGGGGTAGTTTGCTTCCCGAAAAGAGGCCCCCTGGTTGCAAGTCCACCTTTGGGGTACTCACACCTTCTGGCTAGCCTCGGCACGGTGAGTGAGTCACAGAGGTGCGCCTTTCATGTTGCAACATCATGAGACCGGCTGAAGCTTCTGCCTGGCAAGATGGGCCCCCATTTGGGCCGATGGGTTTGCACCTCGGCCCCGATTCAACCCGCCCTTTCCATCCCCCAAAAAAGGAACACTATTGGTCAGCCTATACTATTGCTCATATCATTGACAGATTGCCAACACATGTATTTGTTGCCCAGTTGGAACTGCCATTGCAGAAAACAGACACTCAAGCAATCAACTGTAAGTTGAGTCGATGTTCAATTTAGTAAGTATGGATGTGTTTCTTGTCTGAAACCCAGAAAGAAAAAGGACAAACAAACAAATCAAATCTCGAAAAGCATGCACCCATCAACTGTTCATGCCGTGAAATCAGAGCTTTCAGCACCGGGAAATTTGGCTTTTGTGACTCGTATGACCCATTCCTAGTGGCTTAAGGGGACCCTTCATTCAGCACCCTAAGCCCTCGACCCCTTGCAATGGAGGGTCCAACAATGCTGAAAGCAAGAAAATGAACGGCACATGTCCTGCTTTTCTATTGCAGTCCTAGTCAGACAGGAAGACCCAAAGGAAAAGCCAGGCAGGAGAACCGGGTGTTCAGGGAACCCGTCTCCACAGGCAGCTCTTTTTCAGGAACCTGGTTGGCAACTTTTGAATCAGGGGTTATCAGTACAAATGAAACATGCAATAAGGAGATTTGTCTTTAGGATAGCAATGTGTGCATTCTAGTGCATAGTTAGTTGGATTTGTCCAGCTACAATGCTGTCTGATTGGCGCATCCTGAGCACAAAGTTCCCCCCAGCGCGGCCAGCTAATTCTGAGCCCGTCCTTGTAGGCAACTTTCCGCATCAGATACTGGTAGTAGATGCCCTGCTTCGGGTCTCCGTTGGTCCAAGTGATCCTGTCGGGTCAATTGCAGAAGAAAGGCGCGGTCTTTTTTCAAGGGTACCTATTCTGTTTTGGTGGTTTCAAAACAAAAAGGACATCCACCCTTTTGTTGGGTCCCCTCAGAAAATGCACAACCTTATTTCGCAGAAGGTTTGGCACTGACGCTGCTTCAGGTCTGTCCATGACAAATTCAGAATCATGGCAAAGCACATGACATGGCTATATGAATGTGTTGAGGGTATGTACAAATAAACAAGAGTCTCAAGTGCAATACAGCTACCAATAAAACAAGGCTCTTGAATCTGCTGGCAAGGCGTGTTAGTGAGGCATTGAGAAGGAGTGTCAACAAAGCTTCAAAAACAAAGGGATGCGGAGCCCACTTCAAACCTCAAGCTACGCTCGTCTGAAAACAAACAAAAAAACACCGTCCTGTCCGGGAGGTGAGCCCACATTTCTTGCTTCAAGGTCAGGGCACGTGCCAAACTTCGTCAACTTGCAACCACGGCGAACCAATCATGGCTACGAACCACTCGCAAAGTACCCACACTTCGGAGGGGGGAGTGGCATCCTTTCGGGACAAATGGTGTCAAAGAAGGGGGACCCAAGCGGTGGCTTCCCTTTAACGCCAATGAAAAACAGGAAAACTATCCGAAACAAGCCAAAATCGGACCTCCAAAATGAGTGGCTTCCTTTGGTTTCCCTGTAAAGCAGTCCAACACGGAGTAGCCACAGCGGCACAGCGCCCTTGGCCCCATCGCCTCAACAGGTCTTGGCCCACGACGAAGGGAATCTCCTTGCCAGTAGCGTCCACCATCTTGTCCTTTGCTTCCAATTGCTTTTTCGCCCCCTGGAAAAAGAAAAAACTATACTGTGGATGGACGAAATCCTGCACCACCGAAAAGACCCCGGAACGATGATTCCCCTGCAAATACCAACAAGCAATGGCTTCCCATCGTTTCAAAGTAGTGCAGGATCTCGTCCATCCACAGTATGTCCCGTAGTGACAAATTCCCGTTAGAACCAACAAGGGCAAATAAACCATATTCTTAAGCAAGTGGAAGTGAAGCGTGCTGGGTCTGAAAAGAAATGACCGAGCCTCATATGATTCATAGCTTCCAGGGGTTTCATATTGTGCAAATGAACTTCCCCCCGCGGCCAAAAAGAAAGAAAGAAAGAAAGAAAGAAAGAAAGAAGGAAAGAAGGAAAGAAGGAAAGAAGGAAAGAAGAAAGGAAGGAAGGAAGGAAGGAAGGAAGGAAGGAAGGAAAGAACTAAAGAAAGAAAGAAAAAAAGAAAGAAAGACAATAACGAAATAAAATAAAGAAAGAACATAAAGAAAGAAAGAAACCAACCACACTGGTGCTTGCCTCTTGGCGTGCTATGATTATTTTTTTGTTCTAAGGCTTGCGAAGGGAGAATGTTTTCAAATGGATCTTTCTCCAAGCCACTCTAACAGGTGGTCCCACTGGGCCATGGGCCAACCTTTGACTCGACCCGATTTCAAGAACCAATTTTTCACCATTGGGGACTCCTTGGTGGTCCCTTGTGGCCTGGGTTGTGTATTAAATCCCGGTAGGCTCAACCAAAAAACGCAGCGATGGGTTTCAGCCTGCTTGGGAGCTAATAGGAAAGGAATCCAGCTGTCCCAAAGAATGGTCTTTGGCGGAGCCTGTCAGTGTCACATGCACCATAACTTGGCTCCCGAAAAAAAGAAAGCAACATAAACCTCGCCACTTCATTTCTACCTGTCTATCTTCGTCGGCTTCGGAGGCTTGGCTCGAAGCAATTTTGCCATCGCTCTTCGGTCCTCTGGGCCGAGGACGTAGATGTAGTCGTCCCGCGAGAAGGAAATCCACTTCCTGCGGAACAACCAAACAAACAAAGACGGCCCTTCCAAGGGGCCCTCCCGGCAAAGGGCGAACGCGCCCGAAGGGAATTCAAGTGCCCAACACGGCCCAACACGAACCTCCTCGCAACCAGTGATGTACTTGCTCGACGATCTGGTTCATTTGTTGTTTAACTCATGGAGGGTCTGACTCCAAATGAACAACCAGGTGATGCAAAAAGCGGCCTTTAAATTGGTCTGGGGTTTGGGGCCTCGTTCACTCAGACACAGGTGAAGGAAGCATCTGAAATGGATGGCGAATGAGCTTGCAAAAGTTGGGCCCCCTTCCTAGCAGCTCATGCTGGCTGCAGTTGAAACCCATCCACAACCTTATCTGGACGCCCCCCCCAACACAAGCATCGAGAGAGCGCCCGCAAGGGACGCCCGCAAGGGACCAGAAACAGTGAGAAAGCAAGGGCCACGGAGCCAGAGGATCTCGAACAAAGATCATGCACCACATCTTGAACAGGACTGCGCAAGATCCATGGTGGGTCCTGCGCAAGCCTCTTGCTGGAAGATCATGAAAGCAGGGGGGGAAAAAAACTCCTGATGATGTACGAAAGAGGATCTGAATAGAAATCTTGTGGACACTCTCCTGTGGAGGATCTGCTGATGGCAGGCCCTGCGCACGACCTCTTCAGAGGATATCTTAGGCACTCATAACATCCCCAGGTCGGCTGGCAAGATCTGTGCTTGACCACATCCAACAGAGCAGCGCACGGCAACACAATCAGCGAAGGATACAGAACTGCTTCGCGGACATGGTCACACCAACTGGGTTGCGGTGCACTCCAAGCACTACCGCGGGCACAACATGTGGCACAGCAACAGCAAGGTGACACGAGTTTCAAAATAATGGCATAGCTGAAGGAAGAAACATAGAGTATCACATCTGGTCACGCGGCGCAGGATGAGACCATTGCACCGGATGAAGACATGAAGGTACATGACCACGGACATCAAGCTGAATGCATAGCATTTCTTTTCTCCTATTCAGTTTTGCCGACGGCGTCATTCCGCACGATTGGGCCATAGGACAGTTCGGCTGGATGAATAACATCAATCCAAGGTGGGCTGCTAAAACCAAAAGCGAATGGTCCCCGAATACATAACTCTTTGCAAGGACATTTGTATGGCTGTTGAAAGGAGAACAAACTGCAGATTAAGAGAAAAACAAACGGACATAACACAGGCATACAATAAAAGTTGTTAAACATTTGAAGACGGGTCACACAGGGCTGTCTCAGCACGCACGGCAAGCAGCGCACGCCACACATGCGTGTGTGCGTGTGGGTAGAGGTGTAATAAACGCCGCTCATATACCAAAGGGGCCCTATGTCAGGAGTCACTCATAGGGCGCATCCAGCTCATTAGATTCCCGGGTTTAGCCTCTTTAGCTGAGGCACTTGTCCGGAGAAATCTGCAGTGCGCAGACAAAGCTGTACTTCATTCCAAGCAAGACGGAGCCCCACCTCGGCTCCAGACTCTCTCCACACTTCTGGAGACATGAGCGAAATCTATACGCCGAGCAATAATCTATCTGGGCAATGAACAGAAGGCGATGGGGGCGCAAGCAGAAAGCAAAACACAATCTAGAGGCTCATTGCTATCGAACAGCTCCGAAGACCTCAGGTAAAAACACGCGCGAGCAAAGAACATGACTCTTGTGTCAGCGCCCGAAGTTCTTGATTCGCCTACTCGCAAAGGGACCCCAATCCCCCCCCCGCCCCCAGTCACAGGCAAGGCACCAGCTGGAGCCGGTGGTCCAGTTAACGAAGGGCCACTTGTAGCCGATCCCATTTTTCCACATCGCGTCCTCCGTGCTCGAACAACATGCGGCTTCAGGAACCCCTAGCCCCTCGCATAAAATACAAAAAAAGGTTGGTTCTGAATAAACGGCATGTTTCTGAAAAGGGGTTACGTCCCAACCCTGTCCTCCATCGTGACGACCGTCTCGTTGGCCACGTTATCCTCGACATCCAAGCATTGCCATTGAAAGGAAACATCCTGCGATTGGCTATACAACTCGGATGGTGGATTGCTTCCAAGTTGGCGGGAAGCATCATAATTTTAGCCAGCTTTACTTTCAATTGCTCAGCAGGTACCTGTGGCCGGAAGGCTTACATTCAAGCAGCGCCATTGTGCTCCTCGACAAGAGGGTTCATCCATGGTGCTCTTTTGTTGCCCTTGGTTTGTCCATCCAAGGGGTTTGACTCTTGGAGACCAAGCGCACAAATATGCCCAGGTTTGCACTGGGCCGCCGGAATTCCTTCAAAGACCTTGGATCCACTTAGGACGTGGACTCATACGCACTGTGGAAACCGCATGGCATTCCCTCTTAAGGATCCTCACGCGCATGTTCAACCAATAGGGTAGGTCGTGACCGCACTGTGGATACGAGGTGTTTATTCTTTATTGTTTGTGGTTTTTGTTGTTTTTTAATGAACGTTTCACCCCCTAGTTGCAACGTAGTTCCCGAGTGCTCAAGCTGGAAATGGCCGCACCGCAGAGCCACGTGCGTCGGGGCACGCTGCAACCGCCAGCTCCTGCAGCAGTCTTGCGGCCAGTCCAGCCTCCCGCGCACCAGACTCCGACCGCAGGGGCTTGGTGCGCTTGGTGTCAACCGTCGAGGCGGGCAAGACATCGCCACAGCGACGTTGCTCTTGGCGAGAGTCGGGCATTTGGGGCAAGCCGAGACTCGCGGCCGCGCTGCGAGCTGGGCCAGCTGGGGCGGGCGGCGGGGGGGGTGGCGACCAAGTCCGGCATCCAAGCCCGGCGCTGCTGCTGCTGGAAAGTGAGGGCAAGCCCGGTGAAGGAGTTTGACCAAAAGGACGTGCAAACAGAAATAGGTGAGCAAAATAACTCTGGCAGCCCTTCAAATCCAGGAGGAAATGCTCGAGACAAGTTTTGGGGTATGGGAGGAAACTGGGGAAGTAGAAGCTCTCCCCTGTCTAATGCAAAGGGGGGTGTCCTACAATCTTGAAAGGGCACTATTTAAGATGAGACCAACTGTTTGAATGGGTTCTGTGTTATTGAAGACAGATTTGGCGGGCTCCCTTTGTACGGTGCTGGTCAACCGAAGATAATTAGCCGAGTCGCGTACATGTGCCAAACCCCACGCAGCCAATCTGGACAGTCGGGGTTTGTTGAGCTCAGCATTTGGTTGAACCACTCGTCGGGCTGCGAAATGTAGACGTGCTTGATGTCGGCACCTGCCAAAGAAAGCCCTTGAAGGAGGAAAGGCTTGCACAGCCGCCCCCCTTCGACTGCCTAGCTTGTGAAAAAACTAACTGAACGTTCTTGAGGGACAGTGTGACCGACTTCGGAGCCGTGAGCAAACGCAAAACAAAAGCTGCCAAGCCTCCCAACATGCCCCCCCTCCTAAGACCCACGTCACTACGCCCATGGCTCGAAGACCCCGAAACCCATTCGTAGCCCCAGGCTACGGCCTCTGGCTTGCCTGCCCGTAACCCGGCGCTTCTAGCTCTGGCCAATGCGGCCGTGGCCTTCCAGCAGCCTTGAAGCGGCACCCTCACTTGGTGCTTCGCCTATAGCCTCACGCGGTTGATGCGAGCGGGCTGGCCCAGCAGCCTGCCAGGACCAGGACTACACTTGTGGCTGTCCTGCAGCGCCAAGGGATACTTTCACGCCGCTGATGCCATGTCGAAACATGACCGTGATTTCTTGCCAGGCGCCCAAGAAAGCCTCTAAATCAAATAGCCCCTGGCCGCGTCTATAAGCACAAGCCCGAAGTAGCTGGCGTCACTGCCAGCTGATGTTTAAGCAGCTCACTACGTCACTAGCTAATTGCTTACGTGGCTAGCAAGCTAGCTAGACCAGTTGATTTCACATCTGTGCGCTTGAAAAGGATCAGACAAGCGTGCTTGCATGCGCTGGGGAGCACCGGGTAACTTCCGCTCCCCGGCTCCAAACCTTACTGGCTGGCCGATAGACGATAGTTGTCCAAGGTGTGTTTGTGGGGCATTGTTTGGCAATCAAGCAACTGCATGGCGATCCAGAAAGGAGTAAGACCTGCGTGGCTTGCGCTGCATGAGGCGGAGCGGATCTGCTGGAAATATGAGAGGGAAAGGCGCTGGCTTACTTCTTGAACAACAACCCCGGGACACCCAAAGTGTTGTTATGCAATAGGGCAACCTGAATCTTTGAAGGCCGAGGTAACCCAACAAGCACCCAAGTGATGTGTCTCTGATGGTATGCCAATTTTGTAGTCCTTTGGGGCAACGCGCAATTTGATTTGGTTCAGGGACTCACGCACCACCAAGATTCACTAGACACCTAACTGGAAGATTTCTTTGGAGACGAAAACCGGGCTTCCTCCAGGTCCGTCTTTGGAACCTTTTGGGGGCGGTTTCAGTCGACAGCCTTGTGACCCTTTTTTTGGGCGCCCAACGGCTTCTGGGCCTGTTGGCCAACGGTCGCAGTATGGCAGCTCCTTTTGACCCTGAAAACCCCCACTGAACACCACTTGGTTGACGTTGGAAGGGGAGCAAAAAATCATTTTTTGGCAGTTAAGGAAAGATTTCCCACTAAACCACAATAAGCAAACATGTAAAATGTTTCCCAACAACAGCCACGACCACCCGGCGCAGAAGCTGCGCCTTTGCATCTCAAGTAGCACCGAAACCCCTCCGCGACGCAGAAGGGGAAGCCGCGCAGCCACGGCGTCCTGGCGCGGAGCGTCTCTGTACACGGCCCTCAGTGGTTGGCCAGCTGTGAGATACTCAAATGCCCAATGGCCATGGCGAAAAAAAGGGCATCCCGTTTTGGGTTGGTGGACTTTAAAGGGGAACCCTTCCCAAGAAAGGGAAAGAAGGGCACCACTGGGCAACTGGGTATAACCCACTAATGATTGGGTGAACCCCCATTTAAGCAGGAATAGAACTACCCAACTACTGGGCCGAAAATTGATTTGCTTGAGAGTCCCTTGGGCTTTGTGGGAAATTCTCAGTCTCCCCATGTCTCTCCCTATGAAACATGGACTGGGGTGCCCTCAAACAAAAAAAAAGGTGAGTTTTCTGTATTCCAATAGTTTGAGGCGGGTAGAAACCCCTCCCCCCCACTCAACTGGCCAGTTCGGGTGTTGGGCACTGCTCAAAGCCAAAGGTGGGCTTGGTGCATGGATCAAACTATGGGTCAAACGTGATGGTGTCACTTGCATGCTTCGGCTGTCCACCGAGACCGCGTTCTGGGCGTGTTGCACTGGACTTATCGTCCACCGGATGTCCCCCAATAAATTTGGAGGAATAAAGGTCTCCAAGTCTGTGTGAGGGGAGCTACTGTTTGGTGAACATTCAAAAGACTACTGTAGGGGGTCGGGGGTCCCTCTTTTCTTTTGGGGGACTGATTGCGGGTAGCCCTCTCTCCCTCTCTCTCAAATGAAAGCACCAGCGCATGATCTCAACAAATTGATGCACTTCACGTGAAAAGCTAAGGAGAAAAAAGGCAAGTGTGCAAGCCACCTCTCGGTCGCGACGTCGTTTGGAGGCGGGTGCGGAGCGGTCTCGGAACGCGTTCCGAACGGCTTCGCTCGCGTGACCATCTGTAGGCTTTCGAGGGTCGACTTCATAAAATGTGTTCTGTTTTGACAGTGTTCAGCTCGCGCAACAATCAAAAGGTGGACTCTCTGCGGGCTTGCGATGAATCGAGCTAAACAACTCCTTTCAACTATTTTCATGCGTGCGAGCAACCCTAAACAACTCGGAGATCGAGACGAAGCAGAGAAGGAGAAAGAGAAGGAGAGAATGAGAGCAAGAGAGAAAGAGAAAAAGAGAGACAGAGAGAAAGAGAGAAAGAGACAAACAGACAAAGAGAGAACGAGATAAGAAAGAGAGAAAGAGAGAAAGATGTAAATGTAATGTGAAAAGGAGAGATGGAGAGAACGAAAAAGAAAAATATAACGAAATATATATATATATATATAGAGAAAGAGAGGAAGCTAAAGAGAACAGAAGAGAAAAAAGAGACAGACACAAATAAAGATAGACAAATAGAGTGGAGAAAGACGAAGAGAACAAGAGACAGATCAAGAGAAAGAGAGTGAGGGAGGGGAGGGAGGGGAGGGAGGGGAGGGAGGGAGGGAGGGAGGGAGGGAGGGAGGGAGGGAAGGAAAGACAAAGAAGGGAAACCAAGCTATAGTTTGTATTTGCTGAAACTTCGGACATTACTGGCAACAGGCAACAGTGTACAAACTTGATGTGAGTGCGAGCGCCCTAGGTTGGTGTCAACGGATCAAAGAAATGACGTACATGGACTGCAAATGTGTGGGCATGTGGATAAAAGTCTGCAACCGACCAGACGGCTAGGTCGCCTTTTCGAGGGTCCTTGTTCAATCACCGAATGCTAGAGCAAAGAAATGAGCGTCGGCTCTTCCGACCTCCTGAACCCTCAAAAGAAAGCACTTTAAAATGGGCTACAGCAACCCAACATGATGGGTAACCGTCAAAAGCCCATTAAAATCGACTATAGCAACCCAACATCATGGGTGAAAGTCCCTATTTATACGGGTGTCAGGGTCCAGACCGCTCACATACCTCCGGCAACCCGCCGTCGAAGCCGCGCCCCTGCCTGGGGGTGAAGAAGTTGAAGTTCCGTGTGCGCCCGGTCCACTCTGGCTTCTTCTGCGGGGGGTTGTAGGTCAGCCAATCCAAGCCCTGGCCGTCATTCTCTTCCCCCAAAAAAAATGAAGTCTAAAGATGCAACCCAATAGCAGTCAAGTTGTGGCAGGGTCAATGGCCCCCAGGGAGGTGGGCCTTAGAGATTTGAGAGAGGGGGAGGGTGAATTCACGCCCTGGCCATCAATTCCAGGAAGTCGTGGTCAAAAGCGCCTCGAAGCAGGGAAGTGGGCCTTAGAGTTTGACAGAAAAAAGGGTGCGCACGCAACATGGTATATGCGGAACTTGAGATCCTCTCCGCCCGGGATGGCCCTATGCAGAGTGGCTAGCCTCTCTCCTTTTTTTCTAAAAAATATACGCCAAACTTAGCCCCCTAACAACAATTTTTATCTCTTTGCTAGCTGAAGCGGAAAATGGAGGAAAACCAAAGGGCAACAATCAGCTGGTTTCCTATACACCCTCCAAAAGAACAAAGGGTTCAAATCCCCGAACCACCGATCCAAACCACCAATTCAGGTGACCTGAAACAAGTTATAAAAGTATAACTGAGGCTGGTCATGATGGGTCTTACGGTGATGGATATGCGCAAGCGGACGCTGCCGAAAGCTAATCCCGTCATGGATTTCTAATACCTTAACCCAAACACCTAGTGGCTATGGGAAGCAGGCACTGGAGATCTGATCTGGGCTAATGATGTGGATGCTTAGTGGCGATTGGGTCAAAAGGCCGTTCAGCTTCCGATTGGGGTAATGCGCTCAATGCATGCTTCATGTTGAAGGTCGATTCCCCCTATGGCACTGGACAGAAATCCGATGCCGTCCCTGGGCTCGTTGATCCGTTTGCCCATTGCTTGCAGCTATGGACGTCAGATCTGAGGTGCCTGGGCGTAGCTCCCTTCGGTAAATATGGTGAGCAAATGTGTGTTCGTCCAACGACGGGGCATGGTGTCACACGGGTGTTCAGCCTTCAGGAACTATGGATTTCCCGTGGAGCATTTCCGTGATGGGAGACCAAGGCCCCGTGTGGAAAGGGTTGAAACTGCTTGCTCTAACCATTGGCAACCTGCGATGAATAACCTCCTAGTTCCTAGTTGACCAAGTTGACAAAGGGTGTATACCAATACTTTTTGAGGGTACTCTTTCCGGGCTTGATATAAAGGGAAACGCAAGGCAAACCACGATTGTTGGATATTGTTGGGTTCCCCTGTTTTGAAACATATATCCATAGATAAGCCCACGTCTGATACAAAGTTGCAAGGCCGTTGCGACAATTGCCGTTCTTGTACAACCCGTGCAAGCAACCCTACATTGCACGCAACTACCTCAAATAGGCTTGGCAATGCGAAGGCTCTCAAAGCACAAGTCACTGATGTAAGGGCCGTCAACAAGTACACCCACACACACACACACCTGCGTGTTTTTGTCTGGTCATGACGAAACATGATTTGTAAAGTATTAACAGCCCCATTTGTTTAGGCCTTTATTATTAGACTCCTGGGGCCATCCAACCCAAATGTCGTCATGGATGACTTGATGGGGCATGGTCGTGTTCCATCCAAGCTGATCACTGCCTGCACGAAGCATTCCGTGTCAAATCATCCACTGTGAACCTCCTTTGGACGCATTGAGGGTAGCATTGTTGAGAGAGTTTCACACACGCACACACACACTTGAACTCCAGATGGAGAGTGCTAATCTTTCGAGTACAACTGATGAGTCTCGAGTACAACCGACAAGTCTCGAGTAGGATGAGTTTCGGCTCGCAATGCACTCGGTTTCCCTCTAGTGTCGAAAACGTTACAAGGTTCAACATGAAGCACACACAGCGAGAGAAACAGCGGGCCAAAAGGACTTTGAATCACGCGAGTTGCGCAGGTACGCTGGGATGATCAGTCCCAGTATCACCACCGATGGCAAGTGTCTTCGTTGGCAGGAGACTTGCCATGGTGCTCCTGCCCCCTGCTGCGAAACCGAAAGGGTGGTGACAGGGGATTCTGTCACTCCGCACACACACGCCCCTCTACGAGGGGCGAGGTTTCTCTTTTCTCCTGCAGGAAGATCACATGCTCAAACTCAATTCTCTATCGTTGACCAAAATATCCTCCACGGCGAGAGGAGCGAGACACCGCCCTGAACCGCTCAGAAGACGGGAACGAAAGATCACCACGTTGAGCATTGCGAGTGTCGCCATAGAGGACTGAAGCGATTTGCGAAGCAGCCGGGCGATCACCATGAGAAAACGGAGTGGCATAGGTGAAGGTCTCCTCAACTGGAACGGCATCGGAGTTTCGAACTTGACCAAGAGCCTGATCATGTGGATAGTGAGTTGCGAAGGACTCAATCCGAGACAAGATGCGCTGGTACCCTTGGTGTTGCCAGTCACGGATGTCCCATGCTTGGACTGGCGCATCGGGCTCAGTCACCCGCCGCCATTCACGAAACGAATTTTCAGGGACATCAGGCACGGCGTCACCGCGGTGCCATCGTTGAGGCTGTCCTGGAGTGTATATCCGCACCCACTCCTGATCATGCCAGACCGAATATTCAAGCCATGGGTGCTGCTTCGAATCATCGATGTCCATGTCGAGGCAAGAGGCAAGGATTGTCGCGGGCTCCGATCCAGCTAGTAGATGAACAAGCACCATGCACAACCATGTTCAAACAACAGCCAAGCAAGATCATGCAAGTGTAGAGACCACCCTTATTTTGTACGCTGCGCTGCTCATGCGAGTCTAGTCCTCAGTCAGCTCGAAGACGGGACTCATCTTGTCTCGGCCGCTGTCGGAAGGATTCACGGGCCGGTAGGGGTCGGAGACCCCAATCGTCTCCAATGGTGTGCTTCCACGCGATGCACGTACTGGTTAATGAGGATGGGAAGCCAGACGTGCGCGAGCCGTCAGTTGTTGAGAAATCCCTTCCTGGAGACGAGTCAGTTCTTCAGTAGAGAAATCAGCTGCATCCGAGGACCTGAGAATCGCGTCTAACAGCTCCGGCGACATACTCAATGCCGCAGACTGCGTGGCCACGCTGTGATGATCGGAGGGATACACGGAATCAAATTCATGACCAGCGTGAGGGGCAGCGATTCTCCGATAGCCCTCTGTGGCCCAGTCTCGTTTGTACCATGTAGTGACTTGGACCTGCTCTCCGACTGAGTCCTGGTTGGGAGCATAGAACTCCCTCCATTCTCTAAAAGTATGCGGAGGAGGTGGATCATCATGTTCTTCTTGCGGCGTCCATGGTCCCGGATGAAAGATCTTGACCCACTGGGCATCTGGTTGTTGAGGGTCCGGGCACCATTCCAGCCACGCCATGACAACGCAACCACGGAAAGACAAGTTGATAGGTGTACGGCTGCAGACAACAACGAGTGAAAGCAAATCAACTATCATAATGCAAAAGACCACTTTTGTAGCACTGTGCGGCGCCAGCATCAAAGTCAGACTCTCCAGGAAGGCGAGGACGGGCATCAGCTATCATGTGAATTAGATGATGCCGAGGAGGAGGTCATTCCAGCATACATGAGGTCCGGTGCACCCGAAGCGAAAACTGGCCTCGCTATGCTGGGATGTGGACGACCCAGGCGTTGGTACCCCCTGGTGACCCAGTCCCTGTAATACCAAGTGTAGAAGGTGGCGTAAGATACCGGTTGCAGAACCGTGCCTGTGGTTGTGCCGCCCGTGCTTTCCCTGGGCCAGTACACTTCGAAGTGGTGGACCTTGCGCCATTCCCGATAGGTGGTCGGGTCATCCGGGGCCGGTCCCAGGGTGTCAGGGGCTACTGGATGCCACTGACCCGGCACATAGATTCGAATCCATTCCACACTCGTTCCTGCCGACCATTGACGATGTCATAGTCAAAATAGCGAGGTAGGACCCATCGTGCTGCACCCTGCACTGTACTATTGAACATTTCAACCCGACAAGCTGCTCAAAGTTATCACGGAAAGCGGCGGACACACAGAGACGACATGCACAGCACCAAGCAAGACAACCCAATGTGAACTCACATACAAAGCAAGCACAACCGCAGCTTTATCCAACATGCTACTCAAGAGTCAATCCGAATCATTCCAAGGATCATGGAATGGCGGCGGTGACGGTTCCCGCCACGCCCCATCCGGTACCGACGAGCCCACCGAGGACTCGACGTCTGCATTGACGAGCATCGCGAATCCGATGGATTGTACAGGAGGTCCAAGTCGTTGGTACCCTCGTGTTTGCCAGTCTCGGTACTCCCACACGTGGTAGGACACATAGGAACTGGGCGTGGCTATAGGATCCATTGTGGTGCCTCCGGTGCTGTCTTCAGACCAGTACACTTGGAAGTGATATGATCTGCGCCACTCCCGATACGTGGAAGCGTAAAGTGGGTCAGGAACTGGCGCCTCCTCAGGAACGGGCCTCCAAATGCCCGGAGAGTAAATTCGAATCCATTCCACTCCTCTATCGATCTGGTACTCGAAATACTGGGGGTTCATAGCAGCAATACGGGCTTGCACGACTGTTAAACCAGTCGAAAGTCTGCGGCAAGGACACACATGCATTGCCAACCGCACATATCCGCTGAAGAGCGAGGCAACTTTTCAAACACAAGGTGAAACGCAGCAACGAGGTCTGAAATGTCTGACTCCTAGCTTTCACTGTCGTTGATGTCGCGCACACCTGCAATGATAGTGACCTGGTCGTCTACGAGCACAAGGGGAAAGACATTTCCGTCCATGGCGCAGGATGGCGTGACAGTAATGCTTGCATGTCGCCGATGGGGATTGCGATGGACGGCCAGCACGTTTGGAATAAAACACTGTAAAGGGCCGTCGAGATCGCCGCGGCGCTGAAGCTGATGCTGTCCGAGATCGTTTGGACGAGCGCCCTGGACTGCGTGGTTCTTCATCACGGGAAGGGTCACTGCTGTAGATCGAGCGGCGTGTGCGCTGCGATTTCGAAGAGGTAGGGCAGGATTGTCCGCGAGGGGCTGAGATCGAGGGGCTGCGTACCGAGGGCATAAACTGTGGGTGTAGAATCACCGGTGGTGGTGGTG